CCAAGTATGCCTCCATAACGTCCATAATGGCAGTAAGAAGTTCAAGAAAATGTTTTAAAGAAAATTAATAAGATATACTAACCAATTACCAGGAAAATACATACAATTTACTTTCCCTTTCAGTTTCATAGCCACACACTGGGAAGGAAACCAGGTAATACCACTGCATTTGATAGGAATTCTGATAACTTTACCAGTTAAAACATTTTTTCGTTGCGGTGGGTCGATGAACTTAAATATAACAAAAACATAGTTAGTACCAGTTGTGCACTAATATTTGAATGACTTGGGCCCTGTAAACATAATATATGGTTCTACTACATAGAAGAGGCAAACGCATTTGCTTTAAACCCTCCAGGGAAAAAAAGAAACAAGAAAGTCGGGAAGTACTATATAGGGCCAACCTATATCATGTAAACAGAGGCCAATTAAACAGCTCCATTCAATCTTGCCATTAACATTTCAAACTACTTTCTCTTCGACAATCAAATGACTAGATTATACAACTACTTCTTGGAAACGTTGAGAGTTGAATTAATGCATTCCTGCTCTTGACTTCCTCTTTAGCTGCTTTACAATTTATACGACAATTCTAAGGGATGTTGCTTTGCACAGAGCGGGTTTAGTTACTTTGAAACAGTGAATCCTCTTTTAGGGCAGTGTTGCGACGACTAAGAATGCATTTTGGTAATAGAATACACCAATTACAACCATTTCTTTGAAAGTCTTAAAAATAGCACAATAATCTCGATGTGCAAAAATAAACTTATAGAAACTTTTTTAAAAGGACTAGTCAATTCCAATTGATGAAGAGAGGCAAAGAAAAGATGGTAGTGAAACTCATGTCTGCTATAACTTACCGGACCAACGTAAAGAAATTGCCCTGATAACGCCAATACTAAAACTTCTTTAAAATTCTGCTCGTTCAGTTGGCCCCAGGYTCCATCGCACTTCAAGAACGTGGCATTGTTCTTAACGAAATTGCAACTTTTACCTTGTGGAATACCTCTGACAAAGTTATTATCGTTASCARGACCAAGAACTGGTAAGGTATACAATGGAGCGTCCTGTAAATCCCCGCTATAGAAACTATGTAAGTAGTACGAGCAGCCTGAAATAGATATATCAACCAAATGAATTGAATTTACTGTGTCACGCATTGAGAAAAGTACATAGAACATTTCTTTAGCTTMAACCACAATTGGCACTAATAGCCGATTTTGCATTATGGCGTCATTTACTACATCTCAACTTTCTTTTGTAATGCAATTAGTGCCAATTGTTTTATTAATCTCCAAGGGGATTAAAAATCTGAATAACAATGAAAATGCGCAAGGCTCTCTGGTAGTTGCAGTTATGTTACGTCATAATGCAAATGACTTATTGCATTACAAAAGAAAATTGGCAAAGCATTCTGGTCTTGGTAGTATGTGACGCCCCCGTGCAAATCGCCTATTTTCACAATGCTTCAGTCCATACGGTCCAAATTGTGCAGTCATCAGCTTATTCCATGCACTACCAAAGCATTGTCGACATTGAATAACCTCAATTTCGCAAAACGTTGTTCTGAAGTTTTTATATGACTTCAGCCATCTCGATGCCATCAATCCCATGATGCACCTCACCAAAACAAACATGACGTCATCAGTAAAAATGACCATAACAAACAAAACTTACGTAAGAAAAACAGAACACAAAACTTGGGCCTAAAAAAATTACTGACAAAGTGAACACACTAAATCCGTGAAACGAAAATACAAAATAGATCTTTATTATTGTGCTTATTCCTTTGTTTTATGTTGTTTGATCAGTATTGTTTAGTAATTTTTACTATTTGCATGTTCCACGGATTGAGTGCTCCCTTATTTTACCTTAAAGTTCTTTATAGTTTTGAGCCAATCAAATCGGAGATATTTTAATATATGATCCTAAAATACTATAGAATATTACTATATTAAATATCTTTGAACGGGATCATATCCTTAAAAATATTAAATCACAGATGGGTTTCGCGTTTAGATTTAAGTATATTTTAAAATAACAATCATTCTTCACCTGAATGTTGTCGCACAACCGAGTTCTTTGTACATTTCCACTTTCCATCATAAAATCCAAAAGTACTTTTATCTTCACCGCAGGTACATTGACAGTTGTCTTGTAATTTAGTGCCGCCAAACGTTGTACAAAGATCASTGTTATTATCGCACYCTCTCGACGAAATATTGAATCTGTCGCGTGAATTTGTTTKAGGTAACGTGGAGTTTCGGAAAATAGTGATGTTSACTTCGATAGWHGAAGAGARWTGACAYGATGAGATGAGAAATAAGACTATTRCCAACGGAATGTGATTGCGGAAAATAWAGTTCGYCATGATATGCCCCTTGAAATGAGMTTTCGTTGTAGTGAGTACAAAGTGATTTTCTTAATGGCTTGAAACTGACAACAGCTTGCTTTAAAACTTCATCCAATTGGCGACAAAACTTGCAATGAAATATCAAATCATCCTCACGTTCCTGTTAAACATCACTTTTCCAATGTTGACAAATATTTGATGAATTTATTCTGATTCATTCTCTTAACTATCCCGATTTATCACAAGTGACAGGTAAGTGGATGAACGTTATTTTAAGTGACATCACACTATTATTAATTGCTATTATGCTTCAGTTGTTCTCAAAAGAGAATCTGAATATTCACGAAATTAAAATTAGATATAGATTTCTAGAATTGTAGAAATTAATTAGAAATAAGCTTTTGAAAAGCATTGCAAAGAAAGGCTTATGATCGACTATTAAGTTATTAATATGTATTAACGACGTAACACATTGTTAGGCCTAAAGTCATCGATATATTTAGAACTGATTGCCCTATCGCATAATTACATCACAACAAAACATTTTTTTTAATTGTCTTCACCCCAAGGATTATGGTCACAAGAGGGGGTTAGAGTGACTGTATATCAAATAAATGTACACGAGCAATCTCTGATACATGATATTTATCAAAACTCGAAAAATCAAAGTTCTATTTTTGTGAGAATATTTATAGGTCCAAATTTCCATAATTTCTTAGCATGTATACCAAAGTAAACACACTGTGACGTCATTTTGCTATAGGGCAATTKYTCAAGTCTATTTTCATTSATTTAACTAATTCTCAAGTTGGAGGCCGTTTTGTTCATGACATTTCAGTATAACGTGACTCATGTGAGAAGATGAGCTTTTGATATGGTTATTGCTCTTATAAATCCTATGATTAAATTCATGACTTTTTATGCCTTTCAAACGACTGAAACGTCATAAAATGAGTGCTTTTTTATGCAGTATATGGTTGACCCACAATCAGCATTTTATCACCGTAAAAATATGAGCAGGAAGTTTGTATGAGGATTTTAAACCTCATATATCAGGGGGAGCCGACGGGGTCTGTTCTTCTAAATAACTGTTCTTGTCCGAATTTTTTCCTGGGAAAGGGATATTGAGCTACACTGTTGACAATCTCACAATCAATTGTGGCGCCCTTCCTTCTTTAAAATAATTTTGTTCCTGGCAAACGTTTTTAAGGTCAAAAAAGGCTTATATAACGTTTTTTATGGTCAAAAACGGCTTATATTTTATTATTAAGGAAATTTTTATTTTCCTGGCAAAAATTTTCGGAAAGTATTCCTTGCCTGGAGAGTTGTTTTTTCCTGAATTTCTAGCTGGCAAGCAGTTGAGACTTACAGCTGGCTGGGACATAAGAACATAACCAGTCGTCTCCTCCTGATACTAGATCGACTGCGAATCCTGCATATCAAACGTTTGGGTGATGTCTTCCGTTTGTTTTTAGTATCCAGTCTTAAAGTAATCTGACTCTGATCTTTTCATTCAATTATAAAAACTACCACTTTTAAGATT